CAGGAGAAAGCAGTCTCTACACAGTTTTAAAGTTAATAATCAGCACCTTAAATTGCACTTAAAAACATGCTGATGGCCAGTGCAGCTCCCAAAGTAATGGAATGATGTAGTAGAAGCAAGTGGGCTTTCTGCTACCTGAAGTGTTGAGTTTTGGAAAATAGCCCATATTATAAAATTATATCAAGAGTATGAATGATTGTACTTAGTTGATCCTGTTTTTCAGGTAAGCTTACAAGTGGTTGAAGCTGAACTAAAGGTCTTCTAGCCACAGCTTTCACCTGCTTATTAAACTATAAGTTCAAGAGAATCTCCATGTTGCAGATAAAGATGGTACTGTCCTGGAATCAGTAGACCTCTGAATTTATATTAATTCTATTTTGCTTGGATTGAGCTCTAGCATGTTTTGCCTCATCCAGATTGGAACATTGGACCAGGGTTTCTACTACATTAACCACTGGTCCTGAGGTGGTGAGGTATAGGTCGGTAGCATTAGCATTTTAATAACATCTCACTCCAGATCCAATTAGTTATCAGATTTTTTTGTTTTTGCCCTGTAATTCATGGAGAAGCTTATCGTTAGAGCCTTCTAGCTATCCTGAATAAAATTATGTTACTTAAAGATTAAATGTGCTAAGCAATGATACCTACATCCTATTCCTTTTTTGGTTCTATATCTTTAATTCCAGTCCCATAGAAGCAAGTAACCTTTTAATGCTATCACATTGAAAAATAAATGAGAAAAGAAATCCATGATCTTAACTTTTGCACTATTAATTTAATAATTTGACCCCTGAAAACTGTGTGAGGTAAAATAATTGACTTTATTAATGAGTGAAATTAAACCTGTAACAGGAATTTTCTCATCATATGACATAGTTGTGTAAAGGTTGAAAATACATAAAGCAAGAAGAGTTATAAAATACAATTTTATGTATATCATAAAGTTAATTATACAAAATTGTAATAAAAATTTTAATTGAACAAACATTATTTTTATGAGGTACTACTACATAGGTTTATTTTAAAGTAAATGGTTTTATCCCCAAGGAAACTATGAAATAGAGGCATAAATCTCCTTTGTTCTAGAGCTAAGCATTTCAAATGTATTCTGTATTAGTTTGGTATCTATAGTTTAGCATGCTCAGTTTGCAATAAAGCTTGGGTGTTATTACTGGTGCAATAAGCGTATGTAATTTAGTTTGAAAGCCTAGAAAAAAACTTAAATCTTTCCATATAAAATAGGTATTTTTTTATTCTGTCTTTTAAATGTGCTAGTTACAAGCATATTATGTATCATTATTTTATGTCTCTTTGCTCAGTTCTGTTTTAAGAATGCAGCTTAACTGCTGTTATCAAGAAAGTAATTTCCTTCATCTCCCAGGTTTGTGTTATATGCCTTTGAAAAAACAGCTACAGTAGTCTTTTACTAAAATAGCGCAAATAGAATAATCTTATAGTAATTTTACTCCCTAACAACTTCTGGACTGATTGATTAGATCAGTTAATACTTTCTGTGAAGACAATCCAGTTTTACAAAATATTTTGTTATTTTTAAGTTTTATACCATGGTTGCTTTCTTTTACTTATGAATTGTGGTTTAGTGGGAATGAATTAATATGTATAATGTGTTGATAATTTCCAGGAATCTCTATGAAGTACAATGGTATATATGAGGTATTTAAAGTCATATAAACCTATTATTTAATTATTTACACTTTAATACTTGGAAAAAGACGTGATATATTCTGATCAGATTGGATTTAATCCAAAGATACACATGATAGATAACATTAAATATTTTGAATGCTATTGATTATATAAACCAGATTTAAAAACATGGACTTTTTTTACATATGGAGAATGCCTCTAATAATTTGGAATGGCCTTTTTTATTTACAACTCTGAAAAATTAACTGGTAAGAATTTTTCTTACATAGAGGTAGTCCTCAATTTACTATCACTGGGTTTGTCAAAAACAGATAATGCCAGACAAATCTTACTGCATTCTTGGACAAAGTGACAAAGTTAGTGAATGAGCAAAATGCTGTGAATATAATTTACTTGGACTTCAGTAAGGTATTTGATAAAACTGATCACAATCTACTACTTGATAAGATAGAAAAATGTGGGTCAGGCAGCATCACCACTAGATGGATTTGTAACTGGACAACCAACTGCACTCAGTGTGTAGTCCTTACTGGAACTGCATCTACATGGAGGGAAATAGGCAGTAGGATATTCCAAGTTTCTGTCTTAGGACCAGTACTTTTCAATATCTTCATCAATAATTTAGACAAGGGGATAGAAGTGGAACTCATCAAATTTGCAGATGACACCAAGTTAGCCAGTATTCCAGAAGATAGGGTCAAGATCCAGAAGGATCTTGACAGACTTCAATATTGGTCCCTACCTAACAAAATGAAATTCAATGGAGAAAAGTAAGGTTTTACATTTAGGCAAGAGAAACCAAATGTACAGGTATAGCATAGGTGGTACTTGGCTCAATAGTAGTAATTGTGAGAGGGATCTTGGAATCCTAGTGGACAATCACTTAAATATGAGCCAGCAATGTACTGCAGCTGCCAAAAAAAGCCAACACAGTGCTAGGCTGCATTAACAGAGGAATAGAATCAGATCACATGAAGTGTTAATACCATTTTATAATGCCTTGGTAAGACCACACTTGGAATATTGCATTCAGCTTTGGTCACAATATAAAAAAGGTGTTGAGACTCTAGAAAGAGTGAAGAGAACTACAACAAAGATGATTAGGAAATTGGAGAATAAAACATATAAAGAAAGGTTGCAGGAATTGGGTACGTCTAGTTTAATGAAAAAAAGAACTTAGGGTGATATGATAGCAGTATCTGTCTAAGAGACTGCTATAAAGAAAAGGGGGGTCATCCTATTCTCCAAAACACCTGAAGGCAGGACAAGAAGCAATGGATGGAAACTAGTCAAGGAGAAAACGAACCTAGAACCTTATAAGGATAAATTTCCTTAATTAATCAGTGAAACAACTTGTCTCCAGAAGTTCTAAGTGCTTCAACACTGGAAGTTTTTAAGAAGAGATTGGACAACATTTGTCTGAAATTGTATAGAGTTTCCTGCTTTAAAAGGGGTTTGGATTATAAGACCTCCAAGGTCCCTTCAAACTCTGTTATTCTGTTAAATAAAAACTATGCTTAAAGTTGGTGTTTCAGCTTAGAAGAGTACTAGTTTTTCTTTTTCTTCTTCTTGTTTTCAATTAAAAGCAGAAACCAGTGAACAAATTAGCTGGGATCATCAAGTTTGGTGGGTACCTGTGGCTGCAGGGACAGTGGCAGCCATCCATATGACATAAGACATTAAAGAACTGAAAAAAAAATTGAGAAATGAAAGAAGTGAGCTAGTAGTATACCATCCCTTCTAAGATTATTGTGGAAATCTTTCTTACCACTATCACTGTAAATGGTTACTACATTTTGTTTTTGCTACCTACTCCTTTTCATGAATAAATATTTCTATAGTTGTAATCAAATTGAAAAATGCAGCTCTAGAATGGGAAATACATACTAAATATTACAGTTGAATCGGTAAGGTACTTTTTGCTTTCTGATTCAAGACTTTCTAGTAGATAATGTTGGCCTTGGATTGCATATTGTTCAGTTAAAGGTTAAGGTTACAATAGAATAAATATTTAGCACTCTCCAGTTTTAGAGCTGTATAAATTCCCTTTAGCTCACAAGATTACAGCATGAAATAACCTATGATATTCACTATTCAACAGTCAGTCTGTACTAGTATAAACTCTTATTAGTTGCTGTTTGTGCCTAACTGGGTGGTCCTCCAAACATTATAATCAGCATGCACAATCTTTCTTATCAATGTGCAGTTTGGCACTATAAATTTATTTTTATCGTGTGGTAACAGCAAGGCTTTACTCTCAGAGTTGTGTGAAACCATCTGCAAATAGTTTCTCAAAAGTGACCATTATGAATTGCATTTAGATTTGGATTTTCTTTGCAGCTATGAAGATATTCCCCTGGCAGCTAGCTGTAGTGGTGTTCTAATTTTTATTTTTATTTTATTTCATTTCATTTCATTTATAAAGTTTGGCGGGGGGGATAGGCAACAGACTTATTTCTCCTCTGCAGCAGATTCTTGTTGTTGGAATGAGCCGTAACAGCTAAGCTGATTTTTTTTTCAAATTAACATCCATTTGTATTGATTATTATAAACACATGCATGCTAGAAATAATTATAATGGACATTCAAAATTAGTTTGATGATAGGTAGGCTATGAAAGTATTATGAAAATTGAAATAACACATATCCATTATTTTATTGGTTGCTTAAATAGAAGTTTTGAAATACTGCTGTGAAATGTGTAATCCTAACCCATTTTGCTTCAGCACAAAATTACATTGTTTGTAAAAGGAAGCTGAAAATCAGGTTATTAAGTTGAGTGAAATATTACAGATAATTTAAAGCAAATGATTAAAGTAGCTCCTTTCTAAGATTTCTTGATACGTATGTTCTGGAATGTTGAACATTAATCATGGAGTGAGAGTCTTTCTTTTCTTTTCCCATTCTTCCCTTCTCTTTGGGTCTTCAGTGAAAATAAAGAATACCACCCCCACCCCCCCCGACAGTACGAAAAGAGTATATTGACCTATTTCTTTTATGGTTCTTTTGAGAAGGTTCCACTTTTAGTCTGCAAGCACTGAGAGGATTTCAGAATTAATGTTCTGGATATCAGAAGACATCTTACCCCCACTTTTAGTTTTTGAAATACATGTCAGTCCTTAAGTTGGGTAGACAGCAGCACTAATCATATTAAGCACAGTCTCTAAACTCATGGGGAATGCATAATTAATTCATTGTTTTAGTTGTGCCCATTTACTGGTCAAAGGCAAGTGGGCCAGGCAGAGCTTCCCATGTGGATAAAAAGAAGAAAGCCAATGCACTGTTCAGTATGACATTGCTGTTCCCTCTTCCCACTAAATCTTATTTGTTACACCTCTGCCATGAGCCAAAACCATCAAGCAGTTTCCATTAAAGTGCTCGCCACAAAGAGGGCTAATTCAGTGTCAATTAGAAAAATGCTTCAAATGTGGGGAAGGGGTGCAATTAAAAAGAAGGATCTATTGATTTGTTACTAAGTCCTCAATCTTACTCTTCTCCCTTCACCATTTTGCAGTCTTGTACCGTACTGCAAACTGTTTTTTCCTCACATTTACTGTTCTAAAATGAAGCATATTAAGCAATACTCCCAAGCATGCCAACAAAAAATACTTGTGTAAAAGGGGTATACTAATAAACACTTACCTATTAATGAATTCAAAATTTGAAAAGTTGTAAAGATTTTTTTCACAACTGTTTTGAACTCTGAACTATTCACTTCATTGCAAATTAAAATGAGAGAATAATAAAGTAATTAATGAAATGCATTTTAAAGTAATTAGAAGCAAATAAGGGTGTGACTAATAGAAAAAAGTCTGAATTCAGTTCAAAGTAAACAAAAGCAATTGCACAGAGAAGTGGTAGACTCTCCTCTCTGAATGCACTTATATAAAGGCGAGATGGCCCTGTGAGTGGAATATTTTAATTTATATTCCTGTTCTTGGATTTGATTTTCAGTGGTCTGATACCAGTGTTAAAAATAGGAAGTCATGTTATTTGCTGAAAATTTAGTTTTGGAAAAAGATGCATGTTTCTGCCTGACTTTTTCTTACTGAGGCATAGATATGATAGTTGATGTGATCATCTTAAATTCAGTCTTGTCTTTCTTTCTTTCAGATAGATATATTGAGCTGAACCAATACCTTAGTAATACAGATAGATTTCTTCATTTATTGCTTTTTTATTTTTGAAGTGAATGCAGCTTTGTATTATAAGGCATACAGACTTAAAATGTCTAGTATTGCAGCAAATGAAGAAGCTCTGGAATGTATGGGAATGCTAGAGGCTGAAAATTTTATTCTGATGTTGTATCTCCTGGGTAACTGTTATTTGCTTGTATTAGTTTCTTTAATAGATTGGTAGTTGATTAAACAAGAGAAGTACTTGTTCATTGCAATGAAGACATGCAAAAAGTGTGATTTCCCCTTCCCCAATTTTTATTGGAGCCATTGTTAATAAATTTGGTCCAAATGATTCCAATTGAGAATTTAGGATATATTTGTTCACAGTCAGTTTGCTTCCCTCTCCCTCTCCCTCTCCATCCATCCGAATACAGGTGCCCTTGGAAGTTTAACTAATGCTTGAGGCTATCCTTAAAAGTTTTATTTATTTATTTATTTATTTTTGACTGGAATCTACATTGTTGTCAAACTATAGTTGTCAACATAGATATCTTCTGAGTCTTAAAATCCTCATAGTGGGAGATCTATATTGTCTGGTCAAGCAGTGAAATAAGGAAGATACTTAAGATTCTCTTGAAGTTGGGTATTCTGGGATTTATTGGATTTGGCTTGACCTCTAGATACTATTCAATGAGTAACTTTGAGAACAAAACCAGATGAACACTAATAATGCCCACCAATTTTAAATGGCTTTAAAAATTGATTTGACAAATGCATGGAGATTTAATCTATCAAAATCTAAAAGTCATGGTGAACTATTACCACTGATATGAGAGGCACGGGTGGTAGTTGTTGTCTTTCTATTGGCATATTGTTGGCTAGCATGAGAATACAAAGCTGAATTAAATGGATCTTGGATCTGAGACAGCACATTTTTTCTGGTATGATTATTTGTATCCAGTCAGTATCGATAGCATCCATGTCAGGATAAAAGCTATGAAAAATGCAGTTATTGGGTAAAATATGTACAAACCAAATTAACAATGCAATGACTAGTAATGTATGAAATACCATTTTCATGGTGCCAAGTTGTGCAAAGTTTCAGGCATAGTTTGGCAACTACATATATTGACAGAACATTACGCAGTATCTACTGTATTGTTCATTTCTGTATATTATCCATAGTGTTAAGATAATGTATCCAACCACTTCACGGTTGAGCACATTTACCATTAAATTTGCCATAATAACATGATCTATAGCAACAAAAGCATGCAAGCATTGCATGAGATACTCATTGACTTTAGCGTAACAGCTGCTTCCATACACTAGAGATATAGTGTGCGCCGAAGCTCTGCCTGATCAAGGACTTGTTATTAACTTCACTTGAGGGACCAGCTTCGTAAATCCCTATGGTATATTGAGCTGTCCTCTCCTTTAACGTGAATGGGGAAGCCAAATTCTCATGGTAGCTTTGTGTGTGCTGTGGGAGTGCATGTTGTACAATAGAAAAAAAATGTTTTAAATGAAAGCAAAGTTCTGTTTTTCCAGTAATGCTAGAAAGTCTTGTGCAGCTTCAGAAGGAATTTAATTGGCTATTCTAATTTTCTATTGAGATGTCTTCGTTATAAATAAATTTATACATTTCACAAAGATAGTGTAGTCTAGGAAATATTGATTAAACATCCACATAATTAAATTAATTGTCTCATCTACAATTTCTTTTTTCTTTTTTGAAATTTTATTTGGGTTTTCACAAAAAAAAAAACCATAATACAAATAAAACATCTTTTTTTGAAAATAGCATGGTCCCGGGTTACACTTCTTCATACAGACACAAACTCAATTTCATGCTCATTTTTGTGTTCTATTCAATATCTTATTACTGTTTTACATTTTCTACATAGTTTTTCCCCTCTTTTAATTTTCTCAACTTTATTTTGATTATCTCATCTCAATTCAAATCATTATATTTATACTTTTGTCTGTCCTGTTTCAATTTCATATTATTTTTTCTCATTAAACAAATTTTCTCCTGTAGTTACTAATTGGAGTATGACACCTTTATATCTTTTAATTTTATCCATTCAACTCTTATTTAAACTTCAATGTATACCTTTAAGATTATAACATTCAATATAATACATAACTTCCAATCGAATTCTGCTTGGTACATTATTAAAATACACACTATATTCTTTAAAAAAAAGATTATATATATATGTAAATAAAAAACTCATTCAATTTCAATTCAATTCTATCATTAATATTCATTAACATCTTAACATCTTTAACATTTCTTTTCAATTAAATATCATACTTCCTTGGGAACACTTATAAACTTTCCATAATTAATTTTTTCCATATTTCTCTTCACTTATATTTTATAAATCATTAATAATAATTAAAATGTTCCCATCCTTTCCTAATTTAATTCTCTCATTCACTTTATTTCATTTGTTTATTAACAAGCATTTCACGAGATTACAATAAATATTTTATCCATCATTTTAAGCATATTTTCAAAGATTATTTATATTTGTAATACAACAATACTATCTTATGTATCTTTGCAGAATCCCTTTTACAATTAAGTTTCACCCATTATCTCTAAACAGGCTTATACTTTCAATTCTTATACCTTTGCCCTGTTTCTCTATATCTTGTTTCTGTGCTTTATAACTTCTTTTCCTTTCTTTCTTACCTCTCTTCTTATCCCTCCCTTTTTTACCCCCTTGTCTCTCTACTTCTAATTCTCTCTTCTGTAATCCCCTCTTCTGTTGCTTTCTAATATACTTATTTTTCAAACTATTCTTCTTCTTTTTTTTTGGTTTTTTTTCAAATCTTAAGCTTTTCATTCTCTTCCCCCCTTTCCTTTTTGACCCCCACATAAAATTAAAGATGACTCCTTCCTTGTCCCAGTCTTCTTGTTCTGCAAGCGTTTCTTGTTGTTTCTCATAGTTCCAGATCTCCATTTCTAAGAGTTGAAATATGAAGCCAAAAGAACCTCTCCCTTCTTGTGCATCTTCTTTGTACCTTTTAAGTTCCATTTTCAGTTCTTCTAAAAATGGTGCCATTTTAAACACTTTTAAACAACCACCCAATTGATTTTAGTCATTTAAATGCAGTAACCAAAAATCCAAATCACCAAGTAATCCAAATAATCCCAAGCTGTTTCTTCTTGCTTCTTTTTTCCATTTTCTCTTCCTGGGGTTCTATTATTTTGTTGCCAAGTTTCAGTTAAAATGTATCTTTTAGGAATCTTGTTGAGGTTTTAGTTCCAGGCAGTCTCTTCCATTTTTCCAGATCCTGCCCTTTTATTCTTTTTCTCTCCTTTCCTGCTTTTAAAAGCTTTTAAGTATCCAGAAATCTTTATTATCCCTTTGACATTTTATTTTCAGCTTAAATGCCTGTTGATGTCAAAGTGGATTTTTTTCAATTTCTTGCTTAAGTCTCTTAGCTGTCAGTATATGGAAGGGAAGAGAAAAAACAAAAACAAATCCTTTCCCTTCCCTCTCTCCTTCACTGCTTCAAAATCTTCTTTGGGAACAATGTTATTTTTTTTTATAATTTAAATTCCAGGGTACCTTACGTTGTTGCTTTTGCAGTTTAACCCGGTCAACCAAGACTTTCTCTTCTTATCTTCCTCCTACACATTCTTTTCCGGTCAAGTTCTTCTTTGAGGGGGCCATTTCTGACCACCGCTGCAACCGCCTTCAGGAAAGGGAGTAATGGCCAGCTGAGGAGGAGAGATGAAGCTCTCCTCAACCCTGCTGGCAGTCTCCCCCCTCTTCACCACCTCTACGGGGTGGCTTAGCCCCGAAGCCAGCTGGCTCGGGGCACTCCGGCGGCGAGCATGGATCAAAACTGCGCACGATCGCGGTTTCGATCTGTCCACGAAGAAACTCAAACCAGAAGTCTCCTCATCTACAATTTCAATCTATCTGAACACACTTAAAATATAGATAGATTTTAGGAGAAGCCTTCCTATTCTAGCACTTCTTACAATATTAGGCAAGACAATATCAACAATAGAGACCTTTAAGTTTCTGGGTTCTACAATCTCCCAGGACTTGAAATGGACACCTAACATTTAGAACCATCATTAAAAAGAAACAACAAAGAATGTTCTTCCTCAACTCAGAAAGCTCACAGTGCTGCTACAGTTCTGCAGAGGAATTCTTGAGTCTGTCATTTGTACTGCTATAACTGTCTGTTTAGTACAGCAACTAACCAGGTCAGGCACAGACATCACCGGGCAGTTAGGACTGTGGAAAAAACAGTTGGAACCAGCCTGCCTTCCACTGAGGACCTGTATACTGCATGAGCCAGAAAATATCTACAGATTCCTCACATCCTGGACATAAACTGTTACAACTTCTCCCCTCAGGATGCCGCTATAGGGCAACTAGACACTAGAACAGTTTTCAAGTTATTATTTATTTCAAATTCTACCCTCCCTCATTGCTGATTATTACCAATTAGTATTTGATAGGAGCTTGAGTACAATAAGTTTTGGAAAACCATACATTGCTATCTTTCTTGCCAGGTAACGTATTTGAAGGTAGAGTTTAAAAGCAGTGGAAAGCACTTTTTGAACACACAGGTGCTTTTTACTAATAATTCATTTTAATAAGCATCAATAGTTTATAAAATCAAACATCAAACATGGCTATAAGGTTATACAATTACCACATTTGGGACAATCAGACTATATGTCACTGCTTTTAGCACCAGCATACATTCCTCTTAGGAGACGGGCTCTTCCTATAATAAAGACAGTGAAATCTTGGCCAGAAGATGCTTCCCAACAACTTCAGGATTGTTTTGAGAACACAAATTGGGATATCTTTTACCATCCTGACTCTAGAGGAGCACACTGCAACTGTTCTGTGCTATATCAAACACTGCACAGACACTATCATTGTGGATAAACGTATTAGGATCTATCTCAATCAGAAACCCTGGATGACCAAGGAAGTCCAGTGCCTCTTGCGTGACAGGACCAAGGCCTTTAGGTCCGGTGATGGGGCAAGATACAGTGTTGTCAGAGATAATCTGAAGAAAGGTATTCGGAAGGCCAGGACTGATTATAAGAGGAAGATTGAGGATAATTTTTATAGCAATAACATGAGGCAGGTGTGGCAAGGAATTCAACAAATTACAAACCATCAACCGACCAATGTCATCCCTGCTGAAGGGGATGCTTCATTGGCAGAGGAACTGAATCATTTCTTTGCTCACTTTGAAGTGGAGACATCAGAGACAAATAAAATACAACCACCAGCCAATTGTAGCCCCCACCTCATTGTGGAGGAACAGGAGGTGAGGAGCATTCTGAGGGCTGTGGACCCTAGAAAGGCTGCCAGTCCTGACGGTACCTCTGGCCAAGTGCTTAAAAAATGTGCTGATCAGTTGGCAGAAGTCTTTACCAGGATCTTCAGTTATTGAAGATAACTGGCTATCAATAACCTCAACGATTACAGACCAGTGGCACTCCTATCATCATGAAGTGCTTTGAGAAATTGGTCTGCCAGCACATCATTTCTGGTCTTCCGCATACATTTGATAAACACTAGTTTGCATACAGAAGAAATAGATCTACAGAGGACGCTATAGCCGTCACTCTTCACACTGCTCTGACTCATCTAGAATAGTGGGGGGGGGGCTATGTGAGGATGCTTTTTGTAGATTTTAGTTCTGCATTTAACACAATTCTTCCACATAGACTACTGTCTAAACTTCTGGGCCTTGGACTTTCTTATTCAATCTGCCTTTGGATTATGAATTTCCTGTCTGGCCGCTCACAGAGGGTCAGATTAGGTAATCATACCTCTTCAGCCCTTATTCTTAACACTGGTGCATCATAGGGTTGCGTGTTAAGTCCCTTACTCTATACTCTTTATGTGCATGACTGCATTCCCACTCATGCTAGTAATACTATTGCTAAATTTGCAGATGATACAACAGTGGTGGGACTTATCTCCGGGGGGGGGGGATGAGTCTACCTACTGAGATGAGGTGGACCAGTTGCTTTTGTGGTGTGGAGACAATAACTTGGTCCTCAACACCAATAAGACCAAGGAGCTTATAGTGTATTATAGAAGGAACAGATCAGACATCCAGCCCTTGCTTATCAATGAAGACCAAGTGGAGCAAGCGGTCAGTTTTAAGGTTCTGGGTATCACCATAAAAGAGGACCTGACCTGGGATGCTCACATTGCAGCACTGGTCAGAAGGGCCCAGCAGAAATTATAGTACCTGAGATTTCTCAGAAAACAAAAATTGAATGAAAAACTGCTGGTGACCTTCTACCGCTGCATCATAGAGGGTATCATAAC